TCCTGCATCTTTCCTTATCTCTAAAGATGGAGAGTTCCCAGCAAAGGTAATCAAAAAATGATACTGCCTTGTGGTGAATCTTGAAGTTTAAATTTTCATCTTCATATCTTCTTCCCTCCCTTAATTATTGCAGTGCCACACAGAATGGGAAGATTCACTTGTCTGATACTTTGCCACCTGAGGTTTAAATATTTAATGTCTGTCTAAATTTAGTTATTAATTGAAGAATTAGCATTAGACTCTTACTCCAAAATTCATCTTTAACTATTTTTGTTACTGTGTTGAGTGACTTAATGTTTTAGTTTGTGTTTTCAATAACACACATACTTCTTTTAACAAAATATAGATAGGTCATGATCTAGCTTGTTGGCACTCATTCCCTAGGGTGGGATAACATGATCAGTCTAAATGAATGGAAGAGGGGCCTGGCCCTGACCCAATCTATTGTGCCAGATGATGGGAGCGCTTACCTGTGAGTAGTAGACTGTGGGTGGGGAGGAGAGATGAGAGATAGAATGGCTGTTGGAATGTAAAAGAAAATCAAAAATTAAAAAGAAATTTAAAATATAGGTCATAGTTATTTTCCTTGGGAAGTTCAGAATTGATCATGTTCTACTTAAAATTTTGTCAGTCAAAATATCTAAGGTGATCAGGAAGTTTCCAAATAACAAATGACCTCAAAAGTTATAAATATCAGATAAAGTGGCAGTTTAGATAGACAGCTACTCAATTTATAAGTCTACTAATCTGCACCTTGAGAACTTTATCTGAAACTCATTCTTGCAGTCCTATGACTCCAAATTTGTTTACAAATTGTGATCTTTAAAATTCATTAATTTTATTGGTACTTTTTTATTTAAGTAACATTTTTTCCTTTATTTTACATACTGACCTCAGTTCCCCTCCCTCCTCTCCTTCTGGTCCTGTCTTCTAACCGTGTTTTCACTCCTCCTCTGTCTCCATTCATAAAGGGATAGGCCTTTCATGGGCTTGAACAATGATGGGTTATCAAGTTGAAGCAAGTTCCAAGCTCCGCAGCACCTTGGTCAAGGCTTGTCAAGGTAATCCTGAATGGAGCCAGCTAGGCTCCACGGACAGGTCCTGCACTCACTATTAGAAACCTTACAAAGAGACCCAAATAGACAAGTGTCACTCACAGTTAGAGGGCCTAGGTTGCGCCTATGGTGGCTCCCTATCCATTGTTCTAGAGTCCATAAGCTCCTATAAGCTCAGGTCAGCTTTCTCTGTGATTTCCAGCCATCATGCCCCCATGGCTCCTACAATCCCTCGAGGGTCCCTTTCCTCAGTGAGACTCCTGGAGCTCAGCCCAGTGCTTAGTTATGGACCTCTATATCTGATTCCATCAGGAACCACATAGAGTATCTCTGATGACAATTAGGGTAGTCAACAATCTGATTACAGTAGATGGCCAGTTCAAGTACCCTCTCCACTGTTGTTACTAGTCTTATCTGGTGTTTTCCTTGTGAATTCCTAGGGGTTTCCCTGGCTCCAGGTTTCTCCATAACCCTAAAATGCCCCTTCCCCATCAAGATATCTCTTTGGTTACCCCTGTTGTAGGATCACTGGAGTCTGGCGCTGCCATATTTCCCTTTACGTTTTTGCACGTACACTTACACTGCCATTTACCCATCTGGATTTGCTGTGTTTGGGATAATTATGGGACAGGCACAGGCATTAGTTCTTGTGATGTGTTTGTTGGATGGTTTTTTTGTTTTTGTTTTTGTTTTTTATCTGTTTCCTTTACTGTCTTTTGTCCTGAATGGTCAAGGGTTATGGGGTTTGGCTTCTCCTAAGGACCAGTAGGATTGTCTCTGTAGGTTTCTGGGAGCTTTGATGCCTAAATTGGTACTTGTACCTATAGGGCCTGCTGCTCTTCTGACCAAAGTGGTGTTTACATAAAGCTGCTGATGTTGTTACGGGTGGTGGTCCAAGGGGAGGGTGATGGGACCCATGTGTTTGGGTAGCAGAGTAGGTCATAGAGGTTACACAGTCCAGTGGGTGTTAGGACTGGTGGTGCAGCCTTAAAGAAGGTCTCCCACCTTTTGGACAACTTCCTGTGACTGCTCCAGCGCCATGGAGATCGGCCAGAGCTGGAGGCAGGAACAAGCTGCCTTGGTGGATCTGTGATGGGAAAAGGAAGGGCACAGGAAGCGCCTGGGACTTGGAGTCTGGAGATTAGGGGAGTTTAGCTGGGGGCTCACTCACTCACCTGCTTTTCCAACTGGAGAATGTGGTACTTTTGTAGGCACTGCTGACGTTACAATGGACTGTTGGCCAAGGGAGGATGATGGGTCCGTGGGTTTGGGCAGCAGAGTAGGTTGTAGAGGTTACAGATTACAGAGGGGTGTCTGGAGTGGTGGTAGCCTGCCTATGGCTCTCTTACCTGTTGTCTGGCTGCTGAAGATGGGGAAAGGGACATATTGGGAGTGGGGGGGCAGTGAGTGGAGAAGGATTTAGGAGAAAGGAAAGTGGAGAAGAGGAGGGGAGAGGTGGGCATGAGGGAAGAAAAGAGATACCATAATAGAGGGAGTCATTATAGATTTAAGGAGAAATCTGGCTCTAGGGAAATGCCCAGAGATCTACAAGGTTGAACCCAACTAACAATTGAAGCAATAGTAGAGAGGCTACCTTAAATGCCTTCCATGATAATGAGATTGACAACTATCTTATATGCCATCCTAGAGCCTTCATCCATTAGCTGATGGAAGGAGAAGCAGACACACACAGCCAAACTCCTAGAATCTAGTTACAGAGAGGTAGGAATGATGAGCAAAGGGGTCAAATCCAGGCTGGAGAAACACATAGAAACAACTGACCTGAACAAAGCAGGAGCTCATACACCCCAGTCTGATAGCTGGGAAACCAGCATAGGACTGATCCAGACACCCTGAATGTGGGTGTTTGTTAGGAGGACTGGGCAGTCTATGGGGACTCTAGTATTGGATCAGTATTTATCCCAAGTATAGGAATGGGCTTTGGGAGTCCATTCCACCTAAAGGGATACTCCCTCAGCCTATACACATGGGGGAGGGCATCGGCCCTGCCCCAAATGATATGACAGACTTTGAAGACTCCCCATGGAAGGCCTCACACTCCCTAAGGAAAAAGAAAGTGGATGGGCAGGGGTTGGTGGGGGTGATAGGGGAGGATGGGAGGATGAGGGAACTGGGATTGCCATGAAAAACAACCTTGTTTCAAATTTAAATGAATAAACAACAACAAAAAAAGAAAATGCATTAAAAGAATGGAATTCATGAAAAGATTAATGATTATTGGATACCATAAATTACAGGACATATGAGACTGGTTTTAGAGTGTCAAAAGTAAAATTTATGCATTAGACAAAAGAAGAAATATGTCCGAGAATTACTGGAATATGAAAACACAAATAAACAAGAACACCCTTGAGCAACATGGGTTTGGAACAATTAGGAGAACCACAATCGGATCAGAACTGAAACACCCAACACAAAATCATTTGTCCCAACATCCCAGGACAATTCTGAAATCACATCACATTGTGGCATGAATGACACCGTGGAACTAAATCACTCTCCTTCCCAGCTTCCTTGCAAAATAGAATAACAAAAATTTATTATATAATGTCTGATAGAATAGTTAATTTTTATTGCATAAAATTTTCTAGCTTCTAGCATGTTTTCAAAATTTAGCTAAAAGTCATGCTTTGTCCACTGAGTCTGTGGTTTCCCTAGTGTCTTTCAAGTCATGTTAGCATTTGTGAACAATCTCAAGCAAGCATAGAATGACATCTATTTATTTCCATTATGTATGAGGTTTGCTAAGTATTTTTGTGTTTTAGTAAAGCAATTCAATAAGATCACTACATTGAACTTTTATGAATTTTCATTTTTTCCCATGATTTTAGTATCAATTAAGTTCTATGAATGGGACTCCATGCTACACCTCCCGTTACATGTTCTTAAATCAGCATGTTTCAAACAGTTTAACAATGTAAAAAAAATTAAAATTAAAATTAAAGATGATCCAGATTTCTTTGGTAAATAACTAAACTTGAATTCATTAGGCTTAATTTTTCTTTCTCCATTACCTTATCTTGTGAAGGAACAAATCAAATAAAATTTGGGGAAAATATTAATGAGCACAAACTAGATTACTGTTTCAGACAATGACTTTGGCAGAACACCTTATAAACTATATAACTTTCATATGTAGCATATTTTAAGTTTCCTAACAAAATTTTTATCCACATTTCAGTGAAAATTTGGACATAATCTATATAACATTTTTCCCTAGGGTTTGTGTGAGAAAATCTATAGTTCATGTCTAATTTCAGGTTCATATAAGGCTCAGAGATATGTCATTTTATAAATGTAACATTTTTCAGTGGAAACTGCAAGTCTCTTAATGTTTTTTGTTTTGTTTTGTTTTTTTTTTTTTAGTTAATTTGGTTTTTTTGAGACAGGTGTCATTGTGTTGTGTTGCCCTGGTTGTCGTGGAACTCACTATGTACATCAAGTTGGCCTCCAACTCACAGACATCCTCCTGCCTGGGCTTCCCAAGGGCTGTGATTAAAGGCTTGTGCCACCACCACAGCTCATCTTAGTGAAGATTTATTGAAGACTATTTCATTAGTCATCAATTCACATTTGAAATTTTATTTACATACTCTAAAGCTAAAAAGAGATAAAACTTTCAAAGTGAATATGCAGAAGCATAGCATGTATTTTAATGTTTATAATTTAGTATGAATCGAGTAAATACATTTACAAATGCATCTTTTATTTGCACTGCTGTTATTTTTAAAGCACTTATCTATAACATGTAAACATTTTTACAAGCGCTTTGAGGGAAAAAAAGCATATCATTTAAGGGATATACACAAACTTCAATGTGCGATGACACAATATGACTAGACCAGAAGAGAAGCATTCTCCTGTGTTGGTTATATTATTATTATCATCATTATCATTATCATTATTGTTATTATTATAGCTATCACGGCTTCTTCTGTGGTTATCAAATACAGGCTCTTACTTTCCTTTTCAGTCGTTGTCAGAACCATTTGGAGGTAAGAAAAGCAAAGCATCATTGAAAGTATGTCCGAATGCCCTAAGACGGTACACCCCATACATCATGACATGCATTTGATCAGGAGTGAGTTTACTGAAAGTAATGGCCATGTCAGAGCAGCATCCTTCTATGACCTCGTTTGGGTAGTCAGTAATTGCCTCCTTAATAAACATCCCAATAGTTTTGGTGTTAAACAAGTTTTTTCCATCTTCGTCTTCAGCATTTTCTGCAAATACTCCCTCATTTCTCAGGCAGAATGCCAGCAGCTGCTCTTCGGGCATATCCCAAAACCCTTTTTGGTCTTCTGGGCAGTGTTCCCTGATGGTGAGAAGCCTTTTGAATCTTTTCATCGTTTCTATACTTAACACAATCCCGCCCTCCACGTTCACATATTCAAGGCTGACAAAGAATTCAGTGTGGCCCAGGTAGAAAGGCTGGGACGGATCTTTCCTCAGCAAAAAGTACTTTAAGTTTTCGATGACAGCGAACGTAGTGGGGTACGCAATGAAGAACCAGTTGTACAGGTCTTTGTATTTATTGATGGCGTAGAAGCAGGCTCCCTTCAACACCAGCCAGTTGTCAGTCCCGTTCACGGCGATAGACTCGAACAGTTTGACAGGTTCGGAGCTGAAGAACTCAGCTTTGTCACAGTGTTTGATCCAGGTCTCCTTCACGGCAGCCCACAGACTCACATCTTTGGGTTTCCCCAGAATGATACAGTAAACCAGTATGCTGTGACCGAGCTCCGCTGGTTCAACCCCCGACATTTTCAAGACTTCTTTGCTGGGAGCTTGTAGGTGGTGATGCTCGTGATGGTGCATCCTGTTTCTGCGACCTAGCCTGATGGGTCCCAGCACTGTGATCAAGGCGAAGACGGCACTCCCGAGCATCACACCCTTAAAAAACCAGCTGCATTCTGCAAGCATCTTTCTGCATCTAAAATGGCTCAGCGACCACACACACACACACAAACACACACACACACACACACACACACATACACACACACAAAAGCACAGCAGCCTGCACCTTCCTGCTCCGGTCCAAGCTACTCCCTTGTGCTACTGACCTGGCAGCAATGGGTGCAAGCAGTACCCTCTCTCCTTGGTCTCCTGAAAGGAGGTGGTTTATATAGGAAGCGGGAGTGTTAAAAGTACGGGGAGCCGGAGGGACAAAAGTGTTTTGTTCCATGCACCCATCCATGGAGGAGCTCTTCTCTGAGTAGGCCACCAAAAGGTCTCTGGAAAACTACCTGTGTGCCTGGGTTCTTTGACCCTAGCAAATATTACTGAAAAACGGGAACAAGAGATTCAATACATTCACTGCAAATTTAGAATTCTGTGTTCAACTAAAACAATAGAGTACGCGTGGGTGAGTACGTGCACACTTAATAATGTGCGTGCTTTCATAGTGAGATTTTGCTTTATACCTTTTCTATATTATTTCCCTTTTCATTGTTAATTTCTGCATGTCCAAAGCCCTTTGCATATTGTAGACACTCGCTCGGACATTGAAATATACGCTCGCAGTCCTCAAGATTTTCTAGATAACTGACTGGATGTGAATTCTGCAGCTAATATGATTCATCGTCTCAACATTTACTCCTAGTTTTTTGATGAAAGATTGGCTGCTCTCCCATAATTATACAAACTACTCTGTGCTGTACCCACCTTTTATGGTATATATGTCTTCTATTATAGACTACAAATAGTTTATTACCTTACCTTTGGCATTCAGCAATTAGTAAAATATTCTTTTTTTTTTCTTTTACCTGCATTTGTTTTATGCTGAGTTTATTCCAGTGCCATAAGTTTTTGTTTCTTCTGGGATATCTTCTTCTTCTCTGCAACCTCCTCTTCTGGCTTCGGAATAATCTGCTGCTTTTCAGTGAGGATCATCTCGATTTGGCAGGAGGAGCTCATGCAAGGGTTAATCCAGCCGTGAGCTCCATAGGTTCATCGTATCTGAGGTGCCTTGTTCACCTGGATGTGTTCAATGACCAGCGAATCTAGGTCTAAACCCTTAAGTTCAGCATTATTCTGCATTTTTAAGAATGTGCAGCAGAAATTCAGCACTATCTTTTGGCCACAGACCCTGTGTCCAACCCCACTGTTTGGCCTGGGCACACCTGCCTACTCCACCATTGTACCACCAGGATGGCACACATTGCTTCTTCAAAGTGACATCTTGTAGGTATTTGGTGGCTTTTGGGGATATGCATTCCCTTGATGGCCTGGGCAGTTTCACAGGTGTTCTCATAGTGAACCCGAAGATTCAGTCCTCTTGACTTGCACAATTTCATAGGGTTTTCTGGGTCGAGAGACTAGCGAACTACCTTCAGAGTTCACCTCAGGCCACTTACAGGAAGAGGAAGAGTAAAATATTCTTTATAGTAGTTAATAATTTATTTTATATTATTAATTAATGCCTAATTGTTCATTTACTTATCAATCTAATAAGCATGTAGCATTAAATAATTATGATACATTAACCCAATTAAATATTTCTTTGAAAGGGTTTCTGTCTTTATAAAAAAGTGGAATGTATTTGAAGTGTTTCTTGGGTTAGTGAAAAGCTAGTCCAACTTTACTGAATCTAATATAGCGGGACTGGGTATGTGCCTTTAATTAGATATGTTAAGTAAATATTAATTTAATTAATATTAGAATTTTAAATAGAAAGTGATTAAGCAAGACACCCTGCACTTAGTGGGATGTGTGTGCATTATTTGTCATGACACAGAAAACAGAAGGTAGTTTGGACAATGCAATAAAGATAAACTTTAGGTAGAGGTGAATAGCTGAACAAAATTTTTGTGATTTCTCAATTTCCAGCTTTTCAGGAAACTAGAAAATATTTCATGAAATCTTTAAAACAGAGTTAAAGAATGACTACATAATGTATTCAAAAGCTTGTATTAAATACCTAGCTCATGTTAGGACCTTTCTCCTTTGCTCTTTTCCTTTCCACTTCACATTTTTCAAATATTTGAATGCCTGCCTAATTATACTACACCTGAAGAGCACACAATGGCTCCCTTTCACTGAAAAAAAAGAAACTTTCTAAACATGTATGATGTTCTGTATAAAAACAAACAACCAAGCAATACACAACAACAAAACTCCTGACTTCATTAAATGTCAACATACAAAAAATTATTTTCTTAACTGAATTTCCCAGGAAGAAAATTTCAGCCAGACTTTTAAAATTCAAGGTGACCCCTTATATATCCAGCCAAATACTTCAGTTTTAGAAAACTCTAACCACTCATTAGCTAATTTTCTTTCAACATTAACAAGATTAAAATCCTGGTATGTATTTTAATTCTACCACATGGATTATTAATTCATTTTCTACTACTGTTTAAGCACTTAATATGGAATGAAAGGGCCTTGAACCATGTGTGGGGAACAAACCTGCCAGCCTAGCTACAAGAAGACCGAGGAAGGAGTGTGTGAGTTCAGTCTGCTGGGTCTATATAGAGAGGGTTTCTCCCACAAATAAACACAGGACAAAATGAAAAGGGACACATTGGTTTTTCCAGTGTGAGTGTGTGATGTGCATGTCTGTGTGTGTGTAAGTACATTTGTGTTTTTTCCTGTCAGTTGAGTTCTTTGTCTTCTCTACATCTCAAATATTGATGATGGATTTCTTACTTAAAGCCACCATTGACAACTCAGCCAAAATCTTTACTTATTTTGGTCTGAGATCCTGTCTCAACATCTGTAATTCCTGGGATTACAGACAGACTGTCAAAGTGCTCTAGTAATTACATGAGCATGAGGCACGTGAGTTCAGGTCCTTCCTCATGTACCAAAATGTTTTATCTACTTATCCATCTCTCCACCCCAGACATTCTTTTACATACAAGCATGATAGTATAATAAAAGATGGCGATTTTAAAAAATATTTAGGTTAAATATATTGTTGATAAAAATATTTTGTCCTGATATGAAAATTATGTGACAAAGATATTAAGAGAAGCTTTATCTTGGCACTATGATATCCAAGTCTTTGTCAAGGGTTATTACTGACATGGTGAAGACATCATAGTAATTGAGCCCTGAAATGCCTGCTTAAATGTACAGGAAAAGCCAGAAAATACATATACTTATTGTATTGTGTTGGACTGTTATATTGTGTTGGACTGGAAATGTCCTTCATAGGCTCATTGATTTAAACTGCCTGATTTAAACAACCAGTACTAAGTCAGTGATACTTTTAAGGTTTTCTTCCTGACTTAAACTTTTCTGGAACCTCACAAAGATATCCAGAATTGGGTCCCCTTGGTGAATTTGAATTCTAGTAAATTTGTCAACGAATATTAGCTATCCTAATTATTGTTTTTCTTTATTACAGACATTAAACACTCAAATATCTTGAGCACATTTGCTAGGAACCACTCTTCAAAGTTTTTTAACTTATCCTCTGCCTTAGGAATTTAGAAAATAATGCAGAATATAATAGGCTAAGTAGTTTAAACTTCATTTACTCACCTACGATTCCAAAGACTATTAGTGTATTATTGGCGTTTGTTGAGGTATGTGTGAAGACATTCCTTCTTCTCATATGTCTGTTCTTGTGCACACTCTCTGATTCTAGCTACATTCTTTTCTTTAATGGTGTTTACTTGTATTGGATTTCACCTACTTTATGACCTCATTTGTCCTTAATTATCTCCATAAGGGCTCTACTTCCAAATGCAGTCAGCATTAGAGGCTAGGTTTTGATCTCTAATTTAGGGAAGACACAAATGTTCTATTATAGGGGACCTTATCTGCTATTGTACAGCCCACCAGTTTCAAAAAGGCACAGTGTAGTCCTTAATAGAACCTTTCATTTATTTCAAAGTTTTAAACCCCTTTAGTCTCATAGGTGTAACGATGGCACTCTCTTTTCAAATGAACAATTTAATTCACATATTACCAGATCTCTTTATTAAGTTATCATTGACAAACTGATGTGTGTCTTTCCCCTGACAGAACGTGACATACCTACTACTGAACTAATATTGACCTTGGCTCTCTGACATGGCTTGAACAGGTTGACAGAAACTTAATGGACACAAAGTGCAATTATACTTGTCCTTTGACCCTTTCTCAATTTCTGTGAGAACTTGGAGCTTGCTGGAATTAGTTGTTTTCCCTTCAGATCGACACCTAAAACAATAGCTTATGAAACCCTAGATTCTGCAGTTCAGTGTAAATAAATCACAATTTTATAGTTAGTAGAAGGTCATTTGAATTTATAATATGACTACAGCAATCTGCTGGTATAATAGCCTCTTCGTACTGTTTTCCCAGCATCTGAAATACTTGGTTCTTCTCTGTCATATATGACATAGAAACCCATATGAAAAAAAAAATGAAGCTCATATCTCTCAAACTGTGATCAGCTAACTAAGAAGATGTCACTAATTGCTCATAAGTACCTTTGGATAAATACACATTCTTATCGTTTGGTATGTATATTTCCTGATAAACAATCTGACTAATGGTTACTTATATGACTTAAAGGTCAGAAAATATCCACTTCAAGACTGTCATATAGTCACTCCCAAATGGTTCTTGTGTTTGATGCTATTAGTGGCCTTTGATGTTCCTTACAGATTGTGGGGCCATAATGCACATTTTACCCAGCTGACCTCACAAGTAACTCTCATTTTATTTTCATGTAGAATGCCTACAAAAACAGCACCCCATTGGCAATGCCAATTTCTGTTGAACTTTGAACTGAAATTCGGCTCTCTCAGACTACTGATACAGTGACTTCTCGATAGTGTGGGTAGGTGACTTGGGAAAATCCTGAAATAGCATGGTTTCAACAGGGAAACTTTAGAGCTGTCTCTGTTTGAAGGATTTCCATTGAAAACAGTTTTAGAGTTTATATCCAGGGTCTTTGACTGCTTGAGTCTCAGAAATCTCTG